TCTTGATGTCAGTGCTTTATCATCAATAGCTAAGGCCATGTAGGGGCTGGTGGTGGAAGACTGCTGGGAGGAGTGCATAGGTAGAAGGAACACGGTTTTGTCATCTGCAATTCACTAAGTATTCTTTTGCTATGCTTTTTGTGACAGCGGTAGAATGCTTATGGATGCATTGCTCTTCTGTTAAAGCGGTTCCTTCTTTGTTTTGTAGACACTTCAGTTATGTTTCCTACAGCTGTACCCAGGCTTGAATTCCAATGAGTTGTCTGTAACAAAATTATTTGCCTCGTTTTTCTACAAGGGTTTGGAGTAATTTGCAAGTATCTTATGCTTCATTTTTTCAGAGCATGCTTTAAAGCCAAATGTGATCAAGCAAAGACTGTTGTGAAGATGCATTGTGACTTTCTAAACTGAGAAAAATAAGCTGAAATAAAAGGACAGTAAGATGCTTTGGGATATAGTTAGATTACGGGTAACTCCTGGAAATAGATTTAAATTCTATGAAAGTTGCTTTGAAACTTTTAGTCTGTGTTTTTATCAAATCCCTCAGAGTGCTCTATTCTGTATTGGCAATGCATGCATCTCCCATAGATGTAAATAAGTCTGTGCCTTTTCAAGAGATACGGGGGTGTATTTTCAGCACACTTCACCAGCATTTCCTCACACTTTTTTGTTCGTATTCTTTCTCTAATACAAATCACCCTGGTACAGCAGGTTCACAAGCCACCACTTCTTGTGCTTGTTCCTGTCTGCAAAGCTGGGGTAACGATCCAGCTAACCAAGAGTACAGTGCTCTAGAACATCGTTTAGCTGTTATTTTGTGCCTCTGCTGCTTAACTGCTTCGCCAAATGGTTGCTTGGCCTTGGTGTTCAGGTGAACTGCATTAGCACCCTGCTTGAAGGATGCCTTAATCTTGGCCTGCCATCACCAGCTTCTCCTAAAGACGATGATCACGAGGTCAGGTTAGCATTAGGCATGAGGTGCTGATGGTGAACTTAATGCAGAGAGTAGTGCCATGCTGGTGGGGAAACCTGCTTCAGAAATACAAGTGTTGGCCTTTTTGTCGGCTGCTCACAGACCTTCAGTCATATCTGTCCTTACTCAGTTTATGAGTTTAAGTCACTGTTTTGCCTCATAATGCATAACAGTTTTGACAGTGGTCTTTCATGGATACCTTGTACTTGCTATCAGTGTGCAATTGCAGTAATAATTCTCGAGAGCTGTCCTTTCAGGACAAAACGTACAGAATAAACCTTGCTGTAAAATAGCTCTCATCAGGCTTTGCCAGTGTTGTCTGCACTTCCACTTGAGAGTCTGATTTCATTGGACTTGCAGTCCTCCCAGGTAGTGTAGACAGGTCTTGGTGTCACTGGTATTCCAAAAAGCATTAAGGGGTCAGCAAACTGGCTTAATTCCCAGTGACATAACTGAAGGTGTTAGGCCAACGTTCAGACTAAAACGTATCTCACAACCTGAGCATCGTGTATGTAACTTGTCCTGTGAATTCTGCTTCTCTTCCTCAGGATGTAAAACAGGGAGTGCAGTTTGTCCTGCATGTTGTTGTACAGTAACCATCCTGAAGTGAGAAATGAGAATCCACTTTGATAACTGGAAGATGAGGAAGTAAACAATCTCTTTGAAAAAGCCACTTAGATGAAATTGCGTCCAAGGTTTCTTCTGCTGGTCTGACAGAACCTACAAAGCTGCAAAAGCAGAGACGAGGGGGAATGTAGTTTTACATCATTTCTGCCTCTGGCTGAAAGAAAATGAAGTTCATCAGATGGGAAGTACTGGCTGAAACATTGCTGGGGGAGGGGAGCTGCTTTTGTATTTTTTCAATCCCTTGTGCCATCTTGGACTTCAGCAGTATTTATTTTTAGTACATTTAAACACTGGAGAAGGAAGGGCCAGTTGTAATATGGCATATTTACATCATGCTGTCAGTTCCTGGCAGCCTATTTGCCTGTCGGAGTGCAGGAGAGAACCAGTCCATTAAGGACATGAGTGCTACTTATGCCCACGGGTGGTGAAACATGGTCTCAAGGGTCGGAAGGCCTTGCAGGCTTGCAGGTTGGTTTGTTTTTCTAAGGTGCATTATGGGCATTTCTTTTATGTCAGAGAGACAGGAATGCGCTGTGCTGCCTCCCACTTTTTCCCTCTGCTCCTCTACGCTGTATAGGAAAAAGAGAAGCAAAGTCTGTACATGAGATCAGCATGTGCTGGTTTTTCCCTTCATGTTACACTTCATTTTTCCCCTCATGTCATGCTTAAGTTCTCTGCCCCATTGTAAAAATAAAAATCTATAAATAAAGAAGAACAAATGCTGAGGGGACAAACTGGACCCACAGCTATGTGCATGTCGTCACTTGTAGAAGTGTGCCTAGCCCCATTCCTCCCAGGCTTCATACATTCCCTATTTTCTGTGCTGTCAGCTTCTCAAGACGAGAAACATGCACAGATACAGTCCTGGCTGGAGACTTTTTGCCCTGCTGTAATACAGTATTAACTGAGCTGAGGCTGAAATGTTGTTATATTCATCTTATGTTAAATTAGCTCACACACAGTCTTATACGGATATATTTCTTCTTGTTTAGGAAAAAAAAAAAAGCTTTGAGTTTTGCTGCCATGCCTGAATATTGCAGTAATACTTCTCTCCTGGAATTAGGCAACATTTAGGTCTGATCTCTCATGTGTGACATGCTGTCTCTGTTAGAATTCCAGGCGCAGGCACCCTATGATTTCCCTTTCTTGGAAACTGCTCTGTCTCAGCATGTGGGTAGAAGGCCATGTAAATAAATACCAACCACTTCTTAGCCTTCAATAGGCATTTCCTTTTTCCTGGTGGCTACAGAACAAACACTTTCTCACAGTTTGGCACCAAACATTTATAAAACTTTCCTACTTCTGAATAGACAATCAGAATCTTGGTGTAGTTTTTTCATCGGGTGCTATTTTTACTCATCTGTTGCTTGGTTTATCAGTAAATAGCGTCTGTCTAAACAAGCTCTTCATCTGAAGCATTCACATTTCTGGTAATGGAATCATAAATGATTCATAGAATCATAGAACAGTTTGGGTTGGAAGTGACCTCAAGGATCATCCAGTTCCAACCCAGTCAGATTACCTAGGGCCCCATCCAGCCTGGCCTTGAGCCCCTCCAGGGTCAGGGCATCCACAGCCTCTCTGGGCAGCCAGTTCCAGCACCTCACCCCTTATGTTACAATTTAGTCCAGGTTTCAATTGAAAGCTATAATTTATCTTTAATTCACAGGTTACCTCTGATAAGTAGCTTAGACTGACAGACCTGAAGGGTCTTTCATTAGAATACTCATTAGATGGGAGAGTGTAGAAAATGCTATGTGTGACCTTTACATATTTAGCTGGGTACACTTTCTAAGATGGCTGATCTAGACAGTTTGAAAATGCATCAGATAACTTTTATGTAATACTTCCACTCTGGATTTGACAAAACAGTAGTAGCCAAGCTTTACCAGAAGGGCCTTTGAAATATGCATTTTTCCTCTACTGAGGCCTGTTATAAAGCTGTCTAGGAAAGTGAGCCATTGCTGGACACATAACTATAATATTTTTACAGTTTCACTTGTAGATACATTCCCATCCAGTTTAGTTTTGCAATCTGCTGAAGCTTAGCCAAGTGTTATTTCTTCTGCCCTCCCAGCACACACATTGCAGAACAGCTAGAACTTCTTCCAGTTCTTTGCATGGAAGTTACTTTTGTGTATTTCTTATTGGAAATGACTAGGGAATTTGTACAAATTAAAAACAATTGCGAGCTGAATTTGGTCCTTTTACTCTGTTTCATGGCACAACAAACCACATGAATGTTTCTTACCAAGCAGTGTCCTGTTCAGTCCTCTTCAGCAAGTGCAATGGGTACAAGATTTCACAGTTAGTTCTAATGATGGTCATTTTCAGTCTGTCTTAGTTTGTGATGCCAGGCAGGGAACTGTAAAGGAATCCTCAGCTTTCTTCCTTTGGTTATTAACTGAACTTCTTGCATAGGGTTGTTGAATAGCCAAGTTCAGGAGAAGATCATCTGGTATTCACTGCACAAGTTTCAGGGCATAAATGCTCTGATGCAGGTGATGCCCCTCTTGTTTTGCAAGATGTCTTTAAATGACATCTACTTAGCATGAACTGTATTAGCAGAGAAGAACAGAGAGTTCTGCCCTGGTTTCTCTATCAGTAGCAGGACTTCAGTGAAGCTAAACACAACAGGAATGGTTCACAATCTTAGGACTTTTTTGTTCAGACATCATAAATTAGCTTGTCAGTGTTACTAGTCCTTAATTTAGAGTGACTAGAAGCCAGAAACTTACAACCTAGAAATTGTACCAACTGTGCTGTAAATGAGACTGTGCTGCTAATGAGAGTGCGATTCATGAGAGAATAAATAAGAGAATAGTTCACAACAGCAAGAGAGAGTAGATAATGTCTGTTGTATGGACACTGAGCTGGTTAGAGTGGAGTCCAATTTTGTTTATCTGCAATGTATATATTTGATTTTCTGTGATTTTATATGCTTGACTAGTGGAAAGAAATTTTATCCAGGAAGCATCAAATGCCAGCCAAAAAAATCTGATAATAGTACTTCCAAATAGATTAATTTTATATCACAGCTTACTCCAGTCGCTGCACAGACACGGTAGGAGTGTTCTGTATTGATTAGATTCCTTTTAGTCAAATCTGTGTCTTCTTAGAATTCAGAGGAAGGGAGAAGAATAAATGTAGATGCTTATTTATTTCTGGTGGATTACTTTGGTTTTGTTAGGAAACATTTCAATAGGATCAGAGAAAAACAACTGGAACTGACATTTCATTTCTCTTGCAGTTGTATCTGTGAAAGATAACAAGCCATTTTGATTTTAGATATACTCTTATAATAAAAGTACTGAAGATACCGCTGACTGATCAGAGCATGTTGGTGTCAGACTTCTTTGAGTCTTCTTACACAGTGTTGTTTTGATCTGTTTTTTCCTAGGAAAAAGAGAAGAAGTACATGCTTCCTCTGGACAACTTGAAAGTGCGTGATGTTGAAAAGAGCTTCATGTCTAGCAAACATATCTTTGCATTGTTTAACACAGAGCAGAGGTAAGAGAATGTGCTTTTCTGCAGATAATTGCATAAAGGTGTATCTGACTGAGCATTTTAATAACTGGGAGTGCAGTTCTGCTATTTCCACTGTGTTGAGTGAACAAAATGTTGATACTCTTGATTCATCTGCTTTTTTGCTGTTGCATAATGATGGGTTGAAAGGTTAGTGTCCGTTCTCCTGGCCACTCATGGGGTGAAATGCTCCGTGATTCGTCATTTAGTTTTTCTGCATGGCTGAATAATCATCTCCTGATCCTATTTTTGTTTTGTTTGGCAGTCTCCTAGGCTTACCAAAACATTCATGACTTCTGTACCTTGTGACCAGATTCAACTGGTGTAAATCACCAACGCGTCATTGCTTTCCACTTTCTCCAGTGGAAAAACTTGCTTGTCTGTATTCTTGAGCATCGTTTTATTGTTTGTTTGGGTTTAAATACAGCTGAATGGAGAACAAATCCTCTGCATTCTCAATTCACTGGAATCTTTGCTTTGTAGTGTTTTGCCTCAGACTTTTCTTTCAGACTCTGTCCTCTGATTTGAGGGATTGGTAACTCTGAGGAAGCCCACCGAGGGGGCAGAGCCAATTCAGATAACTGCACAACTAAGCCAGGAAAACATGAGAACACTTAAAGGCATATAAATGACCTGCATGTTTGTTAATTTATTTACTGATTTATTACTGCATTTGCAGTTAGATCACTGGAATTGCACTGCAGCCGATGAAATGCAAGTTCTGTAGTTTCTTCTTCAGGAAAATAAGTAGAATGTCTTTTAGCGGTAGTATTCATCAGTGCCATTGTTTTCTTCTTTTCTGCTGAGTCTCTTCACATCCACTCCCCCCAGCCACTAAAGCTAGGCAATTCAATCAGATGTTCAAGATGATGAGGGCTGGATGTGGCTCCCTGCAGAGCCAGCTGTTGTTGCTCCTGAACTGGCTAGAAATAGTTCTTTCAGAAGCTAGAAGTGTCCCTCCCTCCTGCAAAGCAAAGCAAAGCAAAGCACAGGATTTCTGGGCTGTCAAGTTTCTGCTGGCTCCAGAAACATGAGGACGCAATGTGAGTCTCACTCTGAACTGCCCCAAGGAGGCTTTGCCTACATTTGCTGACATCTCAGCTAGCCCACATGTGGACATTGTTTGCCAAGAGATGTCCTTTGAAAGTATGTCTCTGAAATCTTATTCTCAGCAAGCATTTCTGGAGCACAGAAAAAACTTTGCAAAACTTTTCATCTTTTCTCTTCAGATGCTGGAAGTTAATGTAATTATGATTCTCTACTGTAGCTGTGTGATTTGTCCATTGTCCCATCACTGCACATACTTTCATCAGGAAGGATGGCTGTCATGGTGGGTTGATGTCAGCCTTCCATGAGAAATCTGTTAAGTTTAGCCTCATTGTTTCTCCTTTGCTTGACTAACATTTGAATGCTTTCATCATCTTAAATATCAATCACTGAACTGCCATGAAAATCCAAGGTAAGCATGCATTTCCTTTGGCAATTTTGGGATTTATTTGGGCATTATTTGCACATTTGCATTTTCACTGGATCTTCACGCACACCAGACAGCAAAGATCTCAAAGTCAGATGTCTAAAATGCTTGCCATGTCTGTGACAACCGTGCCCATTTGGGCTGTGAGTAGAGCCTCCAGCATCTGCAGGCTGCTCTAAAAACACCCGTGTGTCTGTATGGGCATGTTGAGACGTGACAGCATGATGATAAGACCACAGAATAACTGTCTTGGGAGTGGCTGTTTACAAAGACACTCCTCCAACTTAAAAGGAGACAGAACTTGTTCTTGAAGAAACGTTTATTGAATTCTAATTACAACAGCAGCCCCTCTGTTATTGTGAAGCAACTGATTTTTTTCATATTTCCAAAAATTTGCCTTCTGGCACAAATCAGTCAAAACAAGTTGAGTATCAGTTTGCTTTGCAGTGTCTCCTAAATTCATAGATTGTTTCAGCAGAAGTAGGGATACTGCAAGTTGAGCAAAGCGATCCAGCACTCAGCTGGGGCCCGTGTTCCCTTCCCAGTTTCCTGGGGAAAGTGAAACAAAAAAATGGTAAAAATCTGTTGAAATGAGGAGTCTTTCTGTTGTTTTATTTTATGCTGCTACGTTGATCTGCTTCCTGAGTATAGAGGGCACCAAATATTGCTTGCTTTGTCAAAATTAATGTAATGATTAGCTTAGTTTCTACTTTCTTTCTAAAACCTTGTAATTGGGAAAGAAATCAGTTTTCTGAGTTTGCCCACTGAGGGCTCTTGTTATGGAAACATTTTACTGTTTAAGATGTGGATCATTAAAGAACAAAGGCAAAATCATCTGCTCCAGAGCGACTGACGATAGCATGGAGATTATTCCAAATCTCCTTTTTCCATAATCTGCGGGGTGTTGTTTTTTTTCCCTTGATTTTGTGAGTTTTTTGAATGTCCTACTAAAATATTTTAATTTTCAAGGAATATCTGTTTAGGAGAAGAATTTTAATCAGCTTGTTCTCATTTTCATTCCCAGCCCCTCATTGCATAGGTATTTTGCTACAGCCATATGTTTCTGATACTGTACATTTCAATAGTTTCCTGGATTATGCATTGCATTTTTTCCATTTATGAAAACCTTTCCAGTTCTGAAATACAGTTACCAGGAAAATGCTCATTTCACTGCGTAGCAGGAAAAACCATCTTGAGTTAGGAGTTGAGGGGATAGAGGCAGAAGGAAACTTAACAGTATTTGTCATTTTGATTTACTGCAGAAGTCAACAGTTCTCTGACAGGAATCAAATGTGACTTGGTAATGTATAGTAAATGGAGACTGTGACGATTGATTTCACAGTGAAGATAAATTCTCATGAAATGTACATAATTGTGCAGCTATGAAAAGCCAGCATTGTGAAATAATTAAATTCTTTTCTCGTTACTTTCTAATTAAAAGTTAAAAAAATATATAGTTTTTTTTTTTTTAAAAAAGGAAACTCTTGGTGTGAAATAGAGTGTTGCTTAAGTAACAGGGTTGTGGGAGGGTTACAGTTATGCTTTTCAGCAAACTTAATGATTTATTCAAAGTTTTTGAGTGCGCGCACTTAATTTATAGAGGTCACTGAAGACCTTTGTAGATGGGCTTCTCTAGTTTACTTACCTTAGCAGCACTAAGAGCCAAGTACATCAGAGAAAGCGTCCTTTGACTCCTGGATCGTTTGGGGCAGTGTCTGTCTATGCAAATCCACGTGCAGGCAACTGAAGCGGGGTTGCAGGATCGAGCAGTGCTTGTCTCAGGCTCTCAAGAAAGAGACTGCTATTTTATGTTGACCATCCTTTTCTCCTTTCCTTCTATCTCCACAGCAAGCTGTTAGCAAGTCTTTTAGACTGGAAAAGAGGTCAAGTGTATTCAAAGTATTTGAAAAGAGCCATTCTGTATATCAATACTAATGAATGCAGTTTTGCTGTCAAACATAATGTGAAATCGAGCGCTTCTGCTCGCTCTTATGAAAAGCAGAGTGATAGTAAGTGTAATTGTGCTCTGAAAACAGTGATTATTAAAAAATGTTATGAAGAACTTGAGTTCTGGCTAGTCCTCACTATGCAGTGAGGTACAACCATGGTGCTGCTTGTGAGTTCTGCCCAGTATTCCCAGAGGGATGGAGCTCAAAGATTGGAGCCAGCTTTTGATTCTCGTGAAAACACAAGGCAATATAAGGCTTTCCCTCTTGGTATGAAGAGATGAAGTGCTAGCAAAGTTGTTGTGTAGACGTAGTACTGATTGACTTTATGAAGCAGAGCTAAGAATGGAGAAGATTTTGTCACTGAATGTGCTCATGTAGATTCACCTTCGCCATCAAAACTGATGGATGCGTGAGACTCTTGGGCAGAGTTCAAGAACAAACAAATTCTTCCCATCCTGGGAAATTTACTTTCCTTCTAGGATTTCAGTTCAAATCCTTTGCCCATTCTCGTGCGTTTCTCATAAAAATTTACCAATTTGCATTTTTAAGTACGGAGGTTTGGGACAAGAACCATAGTTTTAACTGTGCCTCCCTTCAGGATCTGTAGTCACTTATCAGTCACCTTTCTATGGTTCTGTATAGCAGAGGGATGTGAGAAAATGAATTCAAAGCATTAAGCCATTGTTTTATTTATCTTCAGTAGAATAGTTTCCTGCGACTTAAATGCTCCTCAGTAATTGTGAAGCAGTGTGACAGAGCTAACAGCTCTGCATGAGAGCTGACCGTCTGGGGCGGTTTTATTGGAGAAGTAAATACTTAATCTGAGAAACAGATGAACGCAAAGGGGAGAGTCATCAAAAGAAAATGTGGAAGGGACACAACAGGGCTAGAAATAGAGCTGTTGTCTCCTGAGCACGCTCTTACAGTCAGGAGTTGTAGTGCCCAGGAAACGACGTTACCTTGTAGGACCCAAGGAAGAATGCAATGTTTGATAAGTGAAAGGTACAACACCTTTTATTTTGGGTGCCTGTTGTTGGCTAAGTTTTGCTCTAAAAAGGAATGGAGCATAATTCTTCTCTAAGACTCCAGAGGCATTAGAACCTTAAGTACTGAATTCTTTCTTACAAACAACAAGTGGTTAACTGCAATCCATATATAGGGGAAATTGGGAAACAGCCAAAATAAAAGCAACTAGTGAAAGGAGACCGGGTCAGAGGAGCTGTTGGATGGAAGCCAGGCTGAAGGAGAAAGCCTAAGATGAGATGTATGTTAGTTACTGTTTTTGAATTGCTAAGAAAACTAAGCCTCAGGAAGAACTGGACTGTAAACTATTCACAGCTCTCTCTGTTAGAAAAGGAAGAAATAAAATCTATTTAATTAAAAAAGACATATCTAAATGTAACCCAGAAAAAAAAAAAAGCTGCTGGGATTTGTAAACAAACTATAAGCTGCTGGGGAGTACAGTGTCTAAAAATGGGGAAAATATACAAACTCAAAGAATAGCTAGTCTTTGTGCCCCAACTACATTCCATTAATAATAATAATAATAATTCTGGAATATTTCATTGTTGCCTTTACTGACAAGAATTCTTTGCACAACATTTATATTGTAGAATGGGCGATAGGTGGTCTAAAACCGGCATTAAGGAGCAAAAAGGAACTCTCAGGGAAAGAAACTTGAATGGCAAACCCGTATCTTATATGTGAGTTACACTCCAAGAAAATTCCCTGAAGGATTGTGTAGGATCTTCTACCAGACAGACAGGTGCTGTAAGCATGGCCAAGTCATGGCTGGTAAACTGGACTCAGCTTGCAGGACAAGTTCTCCTTCCTTGCTCAGTGTGACCCAGAAAGTGCATCACTGCCACATCTGTGGAAGCAGAGGTACGTGGTGAGGCTCTGACAGCTGGGAGCTCCTTTTGTATCTGTGTGGCCCTCAAGGCAGGTTCCAAATCAGCCTTTCATCGCCTATCACAACAGTAACTGAGCCGCCTTATCTATGGAGTTACGGAGTATTTTTGTGCCATTTACTTTTACCACACAGATGTTGCCCTTCATGGCTACATTTCTCTTCTGGTTTTCATATAGAAATTGAGACACTCGGTTGTTCAGGATTGGCTATATGCTAATCAGCATCTCTCAATTCATTTTCACCTTAAGTTCATTTGTGTCTGTATTTGGGTGTGTAAACTTGAAGACATCCCTATACTTCTGGGAGATCACTTATATGAGTTAATGGCAAAATCCTTAAGTGCTGTTATTTCTCGACATTGTCTCAGAGATTGTCTCTTTGGCTTTTCTGGATATTAAGAAAAATGTCTTCAGAGACATGTGTAATTAATTTTAATTAACGTTCACATTGTACTGATCTGAAATGGCATGCCTTGATAGAAAATGTTAGTCATTGCAGTTAACTCATAGCAGATGGTCAGTTTCTTTAAAATATATGATTTACAGAGCCTTTAGTAGAGCTTTCTTATAAGAAAAATCGTGCATATAGTCAAACCAGACGTTGTGGAATTGCAAGTGTTTAAAATGGCAAACTAAGAGTAGGTCAAAGAAGCAGAATATAGCCAGTGGAGCTGCAGATTGAATAAGCAAAGGATATCTGTGGAGTTTTATTCGAGGTTATCTTTGTTGTGCATGCGTGTTTGGTGTATCTGGATTCTGTTATTTTCTCCTTATTTTAAGTCACTAAGTATGAAGCTCATTTTCAATCAAAGATACCTCAGAATTCATTCTTTTGCATTTATTGTGAAATAAAATTGGGCCAGTTTGCATTTGGTTCCAGATTTTGTGTTGATTTTAAAATTGCTTGCATCCTCCTAAAAAGATGAGAAATTCACCAACAGTCATTTCAGGTGTTTCAAATCCCTGTAAAGGAGGACAGTCCTTGACCTGTCAGCCTATGAGTAGTTCCACTTGCTTCAGTGTCACTGTTTAAGTAATGTGTGCTTTGTGTTCTTTGCAGGATTAGAGATAAACTGTCCTATAGGCACAATCCTAAAATTTCAGTAATATTCTCATTCTCTAATTCCTGTTCTGTCTCCTACTATAAATCAATAGGGAGGTTTAGGGGGAAGAACAAATGCTTTTGCATTTAATCTTGGTTTGTATTTTCTCTCTCTCAAAAAAAAAAAAAAAAAAGAAAGAAAAAGCAAAAAAACCCAACACCTGCACATACAGTACAGCTTTGTCTACTGAAATGTTCCAGATCCAACTCAGTCTGAAAGCTGTCTGTGCCTACAGTTAGTGTGTGGATATGCATTTATTTATATGCATGCATATCAACAGGATTTGTAATGTGTATAGACTGGTTACCTTCTTTCCAAGCTTGCTGGAGATAAATATTTAACCTTATCTTGGTGTTAAGGAGTTGCAAGAACTGCTACATGTCTTGAGATATAGCACTTGTTCGGATAGCAAGCAGTGTCGGTGCGCAGCTGCTGTGGAACTCTGTTGGTATTGCCTCCACTACAGCAGGTATCCAGAAAGTTCTTTGTGATTTTCAGCCCTCTATTATTCCACTGTTGGGCCTGGTTCCTATAGCTCTGCTATTGCATAGGCAATGGAACCCTCCCTGAGCAGTGCTGACAAGCCTAGGCTAGGACTGGTGGGACAGGAATCTCAGTAACTCACCACTGGACTCACTTTCCAGCCTTCCTGCCACTACTCTGTTTCCTATGGAATGCTTTCAGATCTCTTAATCCATTACTGCCTTTTCTTGCTAGGACTCTTCTGCAGTGGGAGGAGCTAAAGGGGTTAAGGCCTCCGTGCAGCCTTACTTGGAGCACTGCGTTTGGTTTGGGCACCTTTAGTCCAATTGGCTGCTCATCACCAGAAGCAGTGCTTTGATTTGTCTGCAGTGCACATCCTGAGGTGTATGTATTTGGAGTGTGACAAAACCTGCAGATAATAAATTGTAATCTTTTATATTTTTCCCTCTTGGGATCTATTTTCAAGTACTACACAGGATATTTAGTTATGAACTCTGCAGAAGGAAGCAATATAGTTAGATGTGGTACATGCATGCAGCTTTGCACACAGCTCCCTTGTTTGAGTGCTCAAACTTAAAAAATGTTAAATGTCCAAGGGAAATGTGGCATGCAAATTTTACTGCTAGGCATATTCGCATTTATTGTGTTGCATCTGTTTGTTTCTACAGTCCCTTAAAGTTGCCTGAATATCAACAAAACTTGTATTTTTGAGAGTTCCTTTTTTCTTCTTGGTATCCTGTATTATATCACTCTTTAAAGTATGTAGCTGCTATGGAGATGACAATGAGAGCATGATCTCATTGTATTCCATATGGAACAAGTAGGTAAGGATTGAGTAGTAACTGTTTCTGTGCCATTATCTTTAGCAATTTTTAAAAGTAGAAGAGAGAACAAAACAGAAAATTTGAATTGTTTTCAAGAATGTTTTTACAGCTTTCCATGAGATGCCAGTGGATTCCTAATGAGTAAAACATGTTAATGGTATGGGTTTTGTTGGTAAGATTCTGCTAGTAAAAGGACAAGCTCTCTTCAGGAGTTGCTTTGGCTTTTTTTTTTTTCCTTTGAAATGCTCCTGTGCCTGTCAGCCTTTCTGGAAGAGAAAGACAAAGAAGTCTTAGGGCAAGGAGGCTGTTTTGGGAGGCACTGTCCATTTACCCGCACTGAGGCAAGCTTTGTGTGCCCTTTAGCTCCTCATTTACTCTGTGAAGCAGAAACCTGTGTTCTTCTGTAGTGGTCATAGAGCACCCAGATATTGCAGTGAGAGGCCTCAGAGGGCCAGAGGCACCCAGAATCTTGCTCATCAGGTGTCCCTGTGCCTAGGAAGGCTCTTCATATGATGACAGGGAGTGCAGGACTGCCAGCTCCCATCTGTTCAAAGCACTCAGCTAAAATTCCCTCTCACACAGCCATGCTTGCTGTAGCAAGTCACAAAATGCCAAGAAGTTTAATATATGTCATGACAATCCTGAAAAAATGTTTTCATAAGCTGGTGTCATGTTGTTTTGCTCTTGCAGATAAGTATTTTTGGAACTTCCCTATCACTATATTTTACAGTCTTTATGTATTCTATTGTTATTTTTAGTCTTCTGAGGCTATCCTGTTACCATTTTAGCTTCCCTTTCTCTTCATTTTCCTTCCTTTTCCTTATAGCTGCTTAGTTATCTCAGCCAAAAAACTTATCTCAGTAGACGTTTCTCCTAACAATAAATTAAGACACTTTTTCTTTAGTGATTTCATATTGATCTTTTTTTTGTTTGTTTTCATTCAGTCTTTTATTCTGTAAATCTTGACTCAGAGTTCCACAGATCAATTAAGATTCAAGTGTTTTATCATCACTTCAAGGTAACAGAATCTGAAGAGGTTGTCCAGGCCATTCTTGGCATTAAGGCAGAATAAGTGCATTTGGAGCCAAAGAAGTAAATGGTTTGATTTCAAATTTCTAATCAATAAAAGATACGTAGAGCTTTCAATCATTCCTTCTGCCAGTGGCTGTGTCCAAGCTGTGGGATGTGACCTGTTAGTGCCTCTCTGCCTCTTTGTGCGCTGTCTGGTTGTCCTAGGAGGGAAATGCAGGCATGCTGCCCTGCCTGGCAGAGGTGCCTGAGGCTGTCCTTGGTTTGAGTCAGCAGTACATCTTCAGGTGTATTCCAGAAGCATGAAGGTGAAATCCCACCAGCTCCTGAATGCTACAGAAATCTGTCCAGGCAGTGATGATAATAATAATCTCCAAGTTCTATAAGGTGTTCACTCTTTTTTTCCTCAAAATATGTGGCAGGAATCACGTCTTTTGTTGCATAAAGGAGCTGTAAGAACCCCTTGTCTCTTTGAAGCTCTCTTTGAAGCTTGAATAATCTCTCTGAGTCCTCCTTGCTGCCCTTCGCTCCCCCCTCTGCATAGCTTGCTAAGGAAAGAAAACAGTCTGTTTGCAATGGAAGATCGATTCCTGTGCAGCTTTTAAGATCTGGCAAAATGTGGTTTCATAACCTTTGTCTGCAGAGCTTGTGGCCTTTCCTAAAAAGACTGTTGGCTGACAAATTTATAGCAAATCTGGTCAGTATATAGACTATGAATTCGGAAACTAATGGCTAAACCGTAAGGGGAAAATCTGCTCTATTTATTGGAGAATTTACAAGTACCACCTTCCTACATATAATGTATTTTTCCTTCTTTCTCTTTTCTTCCATTATGTGATTCCCTATTCCTAATGCTTATATTTATCTAGTTCCGTTAGTTACCTGCAGTAGGTATTATTTAAACACATCCTAGTTTTCGTATGATTGTGACAGACTTTAGAGGAATTCTTAAAAAATTCTAATTGTCACTGTATTTTTTTCCCATTTTACTGACAGTGTCTGAAAGTCAAAAGGACCTAGCATGGGAAAAAGTTGCATCCTTAGTTATTCTGATATTTATTAGTTACAGCAGCAATCAGCTTCAAAATACAGCTTTGTTGGAATGTCTTCTGTGTTTGTCCTCTGTATCACAACAGTTTGACTTTTCCTAAATGTGCCTCATTTTGGAAACAAAAGCTGGAAAATTGATTTGAAGCAGTTTCACAGTGCTTTCAGATAATTGTTATTTCCAGAGCTGTGTTGTAGCATTGTAAGATATTTTTAAGTACTCCATGTAATTATTAAACAAGCACCTGTCTCATAAACGCCATTGTCCGAAACAACTACCAAGTTATTTCTGATCCCAAAGGATTTTTTGTTTAAAATGCTGTGTGCGTGATACAAAGAAGTAAAATTCTGGTTTTACAGTGTGCTGCTCTCTGTCCTAGGAATGTTTACAAGGATTACCGTTTCCTTGAACTAGCCTGTGACTCCCAAGAAGAGGTGGATAGCTGGAAGGCATCTCTGCTACGAGCCGGTGTCTATCCTGATAAATCCTCAGTAAGTTCTACAGCTCACTCGGTTTCAGGAGCTGCTCTTTTTGAGTCAGAAAACCAATTGCATCATTTGGGAGAACAGAACATCTGCAGATATCTCAAGAAATTGTAGCCTTTTCATTGGCCTCTGAGGAAGTAATTGGTTAATATTCATAATGAAATACTTTACAGTTAATTTGTGTGTCATCAATTAAAAAAAAAAAAAAAAAAAAAAAAAAAAAAAAAAAGTTAAAAAATATCATTCATTGGAACAGTTTAGTAAAAGCATTCAGCAAAGTGAGGTTTTCTGTGCTTCATTGCTTCTATGAATATCTTCTAAAGAAAATAAGCTTATTCCTGCAAGCTCTGTATTACAGAACTGACAGAAGCATTTGAGGCAATCACGTGTATTTATTTTACTGAATCATTGCATGTTTTTGTGCATGGAACACATGCTAAACCTTTCCAAACACAGCTTTACTGTGCTAATCACGTGAAGCAAATTGAACAGGAAACAGCAAGAAAAACAGCCTCTAAATTAAACAGAAAAGACAAAAAAAGGAAAATGCTGGGAAATGGAATATGCCCAACTACCATTTTGTACTTTTTGGACATTGTCATTTTGTGTTTTGTCATTTACATAAGTCTGGGACGAGGGAGTTGGCTCAGCTCCTGAAGTCCAGCTCCCTCAAGTGCCTGTGTAGCTGAGGCCCTGGTGAGGCACTGGAGCATCAGAGGCCTGCAGCATCAGAACAAAACCTTGGCACTGAGCAGTGAGGCTGCTTTAAGACCATTCAGATTATGGCTACTCTGTTTTATAGTTAAGGTTTCAATTTTAAAAGGCCTTTATTACCCATGACAAACCTACAGTAACCACAACTTTTTCTCAGTAGTGTCAGAGCTTCCATGGGATTCAATCAGTATTGGGGTTTTCTTCTTTTTTTGTTTTGTCCTGTGCTCTGTGCTTGACTAGTTTGAATTGACAAATTCTTCAGTATTTCAATATTCACTAAATTCTTTCAGTATTCACTAAAGACTCTCTAATGCATAGCTCATCTTTCTAGAGTAATTTTCGCATGGATACCTTCAGAGGAGAATCTATTCCGAGAAATGATGCTTTGACTTTGGTGGAATTTGTTCCTATTCCTGCTTGTTTTCCATGACAAGGGCAGGTCCCTTGAGCCCAGGGTCTTGTGATGTCTTCCATTTTCATCGTCTTCCTCATACTTCCCTTATTTTTGTGATACCTGTACATCTTCCTCTATAATCCTCTCTGCATCTCTTCCTGCTGCTATTTACACGCACAGGAAACGCTCCCTGTACTCTGTGTAAACACTGTCGAGGCTACCAGCAAAAGCCAAATCAGAATACTTGAACTGTGGGATTCTCCAGTTATTGTAGAAATGACCAGTGATTATAATAACAGTGTTGTTTTTTTTTTTTAATAGGTCAGACAGAAATTCAGCAGGAGACCTACCAGATATCTGGCACTCGTTTTTAAATATTCTTAATGACTTTCCAGTAGGGTGCCTGTCCCCGTAAATTAGCTCTTATCTAGGACTACCAGAAGTCATGTTACAAGGATTAGTTATAAGAGGTTATCTAAGAAATTCCTACTTTCAAAATACTGCATCGTTTTGATTTTTTGCTCAGGTTATGGTGTCAAACCAGCCAATTGAATCTGCCATGTTTGCCATATTCTTCATATACCTGATCCTTTATTGATAAAAAAGGCACACTGGCTGGATTTCTAAACTTATGTTCTGTCTCTTTGTTTTTCCTATCTCCCTAAAAATATTTTATATTCAAAATAGGTTTTCTGAAGAACCCTTTTTTTTTTAAAGTTTGTCTGTTGAAGGACTCTCAGAAACAAGATTGAAAGTCATCTTTAAAAGACAAAGTTAGGAGGCAGTCAAAACTCAGTTGTTGTCTGGGCTGGAATCACCTTTACATCACAAAAAAAGAGTGAATATTGTTGTTCCAAACCCTCCAGTTTGAAATTCATGCTGTAGCTCATCAAACTGTGCAGGAAGGATCCTTCATGCTACTCTAATCTTGCAGAGTATTTTCTTCCTACTACGACTACGACTGTAGGTTCAAATGTGTAATGAAAGTCTGCAGTTAAAGTTCTATATTTTGTAAAGCAAAAGCTACAGCACTCAGGGCACATTGGGAACTTCGACCGAACTTTCATTATAATCATATGCACACTCCTCAGTTCTGCACCTTTGCCTGGCAACATAAAATAGTTTTTGAGATGCCCACCAGTCTTTTACTCTTCTTCAAAGATTGAGAGACCTCATTTTCATGCAAGAAATGCTGTTAGGAAATGGCAGCAAGTTGTGTTTGCTTCAGTCTTTCTTAACAGCTTCGCAGTCCCGCAGTTAAAAATGCAAAGAGGTACCCCAGCCCCTTCACAGGATGACCTCCTCATTCTTTTTATGTGCAAGTTGCAGCTGGTAACTTTGAATATCCAAGACTTTGGCACCAGAAGTAGAAAATTGCTGCTTAGAAATGAAAAATAGATTAATAGTGCTGTAAACCTGGAGTGCTGCAGTGGTGAGGCTGGCCTGCTTTCTGTAACTGCCAGAGGAGCGTGCACAGCCTGGAATCTGAAGTTAAGCTGTGTGCTTTCATTAACAGCTCTGCTGCTCGCATACGGGAATGCTGATATAAAGCCCAACGCATTGGCCCCTACTTGGTTTACTTCTGCAATGAAAGGAATAGTAGGAATTTGTCACTGAATTAAAGAGATTTGCTTCAAGTTCTCACCAGGAGCAAATCTCTCAACTAAGAATATTTGTTTTTCTGTTGTTTTTCTAGTAGTACTACTTAAAATTGAATGATGACAGTGGTAATGGGGCTTGGTACTTACCACTACTGCTATGAAGTAGTACTTTAATACCCTAAGCAAAGTCTAAGGTTGTTGACATTTTATTTTTGTGCCTAAACAAAACTCATTAAGCCATCTAACACCCCGTTCCTCCATTTTCTTGCTTCCTTTTGCCTGCGTTCTCCATCCCTCAGTGTGTGCTGATGTATGTTCACGTATTCATTCACTTGTTAGCTATCTTTAACCACCCTTCAGAGTTTTTCTTTGAGCCCCTGAATTCTTTTGGACTTTTCCAGGTCACCTCCCTCTCCAGAGATTTGCATTTCTCAGGACGTGAGCTTTGACAGCCACCCAGATAGCAATGAATCAGTGTTTTTAGTATTCCAACCCATATGCAAGGCAGCTTGCTTGATATAAATCACACTGTGGCCAATTCACTTTGAAACAGGATATCCATTTACCAGCTGACTTTACTGCTGGGTTTCTGTATTGAGGCATCCAAACCTCCTTTTCTAAAAAATGGCTACAACTTTGTGACTAACCTTTCCAGACTGTATTTCTCAACTCGGCTGGTGTTTATTTTGGCCAGCTTCCCACTGGATAATATACACTGTTCATGCCAGCTCATGGCAAAACTTGTAATTAAAAGAAAAGAAAAGAAAGCACAGATGTTCATCGTAAGCTGTTCAGCACACTTTACCTGGCTGGCACCAACCATCCATTCCCGTTCCCCTTTCCCTAATGCCATCTCCTCCTTACTTTCATTACTAGTCTAAACGTACAATATTTGCTTTTTAAAAGCATTGGATCGTGAAACTTTCCATTCATTGGCATGTTGCAGGGAGTGGCTGTCGTGAAAGGGTAAGCAGACATATTTAGTGGTTGCTTTGCGTACTGGAAGCTCAGTATTGCCGATGCACGAAAATCCCTCTGGCTTTGGTCCCATCCCTAGATCATTTTGAGCCTCGTTTCCCTCACCCTTGTTTTAGTGTCCACCGACTTCCCTGGAGCTGCTCCTAATTTACACTGGAGGAAGCAAAAGTAGAATCTGAAAGTTTGCTAGAGAGGAAATTTTGAAAAGCAGTGTGAATTTACAGCTTCGCTGACCATTTCAGATCCTTCGTGAATGGCCTGTGCTCCTCAGGAAGCTGTCTGACTAAAGGATTCTGTGAATGTACTTTGAGTCAGTTCATTTGGTTTGAGCTACTTCCAGAACTGCACAAGTTAGACTGAATGTATGTAAAATGTATGTATCTAATATTTCTTTTTTCCTCTTCCCTCCCTGCTGCATCCTGCAAAGGGGAACAACAGAGTAAGTTCTTTGTGCTTTTACAAAATCCTTTTGTATCCTGACTCAAGGGTTTTGTCATAAAAATCACTTTACCTTCTCTTTTACACAATTGTTGCCTGCATACTCCTACGAGGAAACTCCTAGCTTCCTTCTAAGAGGAAATGTAGGTACAAAAATGTCTTCTATGAAACTATGAACAGATCTTTGTATTTTAATTTTGCAGAAGGTGATATGTTAAATGATGCCGAGTGTTGTTTTTTAAGGCAGTTCAGTGAGAATGATACTATAAAACAGTATTGGGTCCGAAGATTATGAAGGTATAGTAATAAAGACCTTCTGAGGAAAGGTTGCTACAGTCTGATGAAACTCATTACAGCTGGATTTTTTGACCATACATCAAAGCTTGTATTAATGGGCAGTTATAAAAACCCGGCACTAAAGTCTTAAATAACAGATTTGCTGGCGTTGTTGGCTAAGCTGAACTAGATCAGTGTAGTGGCTTTGAAGGTGCCTTAAAATGGATGGAGGAGGGTGGGGTCAACATTTGACTTGGCTTCTAGACCCTTGATGTGTTCCAGCTGGACAGCAGCAGAAGGGTGTGGGGTGTAGAGAGGGAGAACTGAAATATGCATGGTAGGTTTTTAAAACTGAGCAGCACATAAAAAGATAGTTTTGCTGATGCTGATCTGATAAACTAATAATTAAGTAGTTCCCAGGGTTTGCACTTTTTCTGCCATTTTTACTTAACTTAAGAATGAAAATTTCACATCTCACACTTTGGAACATGATGCAAAGGGATTTTGTCATGCTACAGAAAGAATTTACACGGCTTTTGCATTTTTTTTCTTTCCTGTTTTGACACATTAACCCTTAGAAGGATGTATCTGGAGCATCAAAGGATGCTTCATAGCAAATGTTGAAACTATCCCCTGAAATATTGCTTGTAGTATCTCACTGTGAGCTTCTAACATTTCTTGGCTATTTGGGAAAGACCCAGGTGCACTTAAAATTGTCTGAAGATGTGGGAATTTGTCTGCTTTTAATTTTGATATTTTTATCACTTTTTGTCTGCTGCTGTCTCCATAGTAACTGGGCTCCGAAGCACCAAAAATGTTGTGTTTTATTGGCTTGCCTGTTTGGTGGTGAAGGGTTAAGAATTGATGGCATAGAGAGAGGGACTGTATGCAGGAGTTGGTGTGAAATGTAAATGTTAACTGTGTACACTGAAATATCAAGGTAATGTTTATAATGTTGCTTTACGATATGCTGACTTAAGGCTTTGCTGCTATGCTGGGTACTGAGCTGATCTCCTGATGAGAGGAGTTAGACTGTAGATGCTCTGTCAAGTGAGATGGGGCACCAGAGATCTGTTGGCGCTGCCAGAAACAGGGGTCAGGATGCATGTGGACAAGCACTGTTCTCCAGTGACCTGAGCTGTGGGGCACCTCCAGGGAGGGAGGACCAGTAGTAGTGTCTGACGCGGAGTTCAGTTTCTAGCAAAAGATAGGATAGATTTAAGCAGGTATAGGAGAAACCTGTGAGATTTGAGGCTTGTTGGATCTGTTAGCTTTCCTTATGCTGTGAGCAATGGGTGATTTTTGCTGTACGTTCACAGAAATTCCCCCATTGGCCCTGGGATGTCAGCCAGAAGGTAATTCCAAAACAAATCTCCATGACAGCCATCCTCATCTTTCTCTTGGAACCCAGATCCTGGTGAGGATCATTGAATCCTCATCTGTGTCCCCTCCCTTCTTTCACATGAGTTGCTCGTGCTCAGGGAGCTGGAGCTAGATGATCTTAAAGGTCCCTTGCAGCCCAAGCCATTCTATGATTCTGTGATTTTAGGAGGTTATGAATCCCAGTTAGGCAGGCAGAACTAACTGCAGCTGCCTGTAGTGGCTCAAAGCCCGCAGACATCTTGAGACTTCTGTACCTAGTTGTATGGAAAATGAAGTGGGTGCACCTGAGAGGCGGTAAGAGCGTCTGAGATGTGGCTGGGAGAAAGGAGGGGCTGCAGACTGTAGATCCCGGGGTTTTCAAACCTGCAGAATTCTTCCTTACTGTCCTGGTATGGATTTACTTGGGTACCTAGCAAGGCTTTAAAATTCCTATTATTATTACCTGCTAGGGCTTTCACACTGTCTCATGTCATGTGGAAAGATTCCGTAACCGCCCACACAACCTGAATGGGTACTGCCCTTAGCTTTGCCTCTTAAATTTGCAAAGTGAAAATAAACATTGGAGTAATGAGGTCCTAAGAAAAAGCAGGGGGAGGGAAAAGAAGAGGGTTTATGGTCATCAGTGGACTACTAATCATTGTTATTTTTACTTTTTATTGTTGCACAATCATTACTGTAAGTGAGATTTCTCACATGGTTAAAAATAAATATATCTTCAAAGCTTTGTTGGATAAGATCTGTAAAAGGGGTCGTTTAGAATGAGGTAATGGAGACCTACCTCATTCAGCAAGCACATGTTGGCAAGCCACGTCTTACTAAAGTTAAAACTGAACTCTGCTCTGCAGTCCTGTGCAGAAGCAGGATGAGAGGAGCGTTGTGCCAAGCTGCACAGAGCGCTGGGAAGCTGCTTGTAGCTTCGGTCCAGATGCTGAAGACACTGACTCAGTGTCTTAATCCATCTTTGTGAATTCGCTTCCTCCCCCGTGCATTTTCATCACTCTTGTTGTTTAAAAACAAAAGCAAAAAACACCAGCCCTCCAGATCCTGCTGTTTGAAAATAACAACAGCAACAAAGCCTACAATATTCTCACATAGGCAGTTTTCTGTACGTGCCCAACATTGTTAGGTTAGAAGATTTACTAGGTGCTGTGTCCTACAGAAATTCTCATCCCAAACCCCATAGGCTGAGCTAGCAAAAATAAAACACACACACACAAAATTTGCATCTTGGTTAGTGGCATTGGCTCAGTGTGGATAACACTGAGCATACGAGCATTCACCGAATACAAAGTCACTTAGTAGAATTTAGTTTGAATTTTCTCCTGAGAAAAACAGAATTTCCTTTGAAAAGAAAAGGAAAATAATCTCGCTGCCAGGTCAGTTTGCATGTTATTGCTTAAAATACTTCTTGGTGACATATTAATTGCTTAGTTTCAAGTCTCTTTTTTTGGGAGGGGGAGGGGAAAAGGGATGGGAGTAGTTATACCGAACCCAGATTCCAGATCAGCTACTTCATTAAGAAGACCAGATGTCCTACTCCCTCTCGAGACAGCCCTGGAAAGTGGGAACTTAGAGTGAGTGAAGTCAGGGCACTCATCCTACCTAAGTGTATGACAACAGCTCTCTCATTTCATCTATTTCATGCCTGGCTATTGACATTTCTACGCAGGTACTGCGCCAGAAGCCACGTGCATCTTTGCACAGGGCTGTGATGCTTGTTTTACCAAATCCAGCTGTGTTTCTGAAGTGTCTGCACTTACCTGCAAATCACGCTCTGACTCTGGCCATGGTAATGTTCCCAGCCAGGCTCAAACTGAGAGTCGGTGCCTCTGCTCCCAGACTGCTGAGGGTGGTGTTCGAGTTAAGGTCCTAAGCTAAAAAAAGTAAGGACTCGCTTGTGTTTGTTGTGTAGCAGCAGGCTGAACAGCAACTTGTGCTGATGTGTCAGAGGGAAAGCAGCGTAGATGGAAATGAAAACTGTGCATTTACTGTTTTGTTTTTGTTGGTTTGTTTTTTTTTAACTTAAGAAAACAACACCCAGACAACTATATTCTAGGAAAGGAAGGCACTGAATTCTAGGAAAAGAAGAATCCACTTCAGTTATGACTAAAATTGGCACCAGGCCAAGGAGGTTTAAAAATAACTTTCAAATGAAAGAAGTGTTATAATACTTTTTAAAGCGGGAAAAATGCCATAATTTTATAGACGGTGCTTCAGTCATTGCTTCAAACAGATGAATTGAGTTTTACAATGAAGTGACGGCGTGACGGAGCAGAGCAGTGCGTGCATGCGCGTCCCCACAGGGTCAGCAGCAGTCCAAAGCAGAGGGAGGAAAGGAAATGGCTGTTTGTCAGTGCCTTCCGTGCTGCCTTACGCTTTCATGAATGCGAAAACACCCCTCCATAAAAATCATCCTTCTAAGTATTTACTACTTCAAACCAAACCTAGAGGCACTCCTGTTCCCTGAAACACAGAGCAGCCCTCTTTTATATTCTCTAAGAGTAAAATAATTGTTGGCACAAGAGAGTTAAAAACGTACAAGGGAGAGAGAGATCCAGAGCATTGCATCAGTTGCACTGACTGTAACAAGATGCAGCCTTGCTAACTGAAGGATTTCAGAACCAGTCCCAGCAAACTGGTAACTGCCTGTGTCAGGGGTCAGCCGTTCAATAGCTGTCACAGTTTTACATTTCTGCTATTAAACAAACCTGCTGACATTAAGCAAGCTCCAGGAAATTTAGAATGGAGCAGATTTTTTTTATTATTATTATGTTTGCAATGTCTTCGTGGTGGGCTCTTTGCTTTCCATGAGACACCTGCACCTTGAAAATATTTTTAAATTCTCATTTTTTATGGTGCAGCTCATTTTTGCACCACTTCCACTCTAATGAAGGATTTTATTGAAGCTGTACCGAAAGGTGAAAACTTTCTGGCTGCCCAGAAGTTTTATGCTTCAGTTTCAGATGATGGAGCGTGGAGTGTCAGCCATGTTCTGGACATGAATTGCTATTGAAAAGAGAGGGAGATCTCCCCTGGGGAAGGCAGTAAAGAAAGCCAACTCCTGCAGATCCTTTCCTAGAACTGGTCAATGAGTGCTAAGAGTTGGTTGGCACAGGAGGGTGCTTCTGGGCTGTGCTGCACTACTCAGACCTACAGAGATCCTTGAGACTGCAGGCTGGGTGTCTGTGCCCCCAGGTCTCAGGACAGCCATAGCTGGAAGGTCGCGTTGCCTACAATCCCCTTTAGTGCAGCTCCACCATGTCACCCATGTGCAAAACTGAACAGAAAGGGAAACGCGCTCAGATATCACAAGACTTGAGCAATTTTTTTTTGTTGTTCTCCAAGTCAGTTCCTGCACAAAAAACTACTCCTGAGTAGCGGTTTTTAAAAAAAGTAATTGGGTCTAAATAAAAATGTGAGTTTTTTCTGCCAAAAATGTCATCGGAGTCACTTCCATAGCATTTACAGTGTAGCAGGAAATGTAGTCATTGGACAGGAGGGTGGAGGGCAGCTGGTAAACAGCCAGATCCTTCTTTTTCTCTCACTTGTAAGAGAAAACAAGACCATTAAGAGAAACTGAATGCTGTTTTTTCTCATTCTGTTTTGGACAAAAGCAAAGACATGCAATGTCTATTCTGATGCATGGTTTTATCCTGGATTTGTTTAGCTTACCCTACCTTTCTTTTGGTGGAGGTAGGGTTATAATTACTGTCCGCATGGAGTCAATTTCACACGATGCTTTGTGTGTGAAATTCCCTGTTCTGAAATTTCATTCTTTCCTCACAGCACTCATGATGTCATTTGTTCCTGTTCTGTGGTCACCCCTCCTGCACCTGTGTCCCAGTTCCATTGTGGCCTTTCATTGACCAGTGTGTTCTCTGTTCTTCCCAGTTTGATGGATTTGGAGAACATTTGCTATTCTAACTGTGCTGATTCTGGAGAACTGAGTTTTGACCCTAGGAAAAGCTGGCTGTGGACACTTGTGGTATTTGATTTGTGGTTCTCTTCCACTTTGGTGCCTTACCTACTGTTGTTCCTGGTCCCAAAGTGGAGAAACAAATGATCTTAGTTGGTTCACCTTTACCTTCTTTCATTCTTTTTAAACCTAACATTTCCTAATCAAATTACTTGTAATTCAAAGAGAGAATGATGCATCACTGAATATTGCACTCAGTTCAAATGACGTATGTGAAATTATCTGGCTGGATGAAAGCTCTGTGATGCGTAGACAGAAAGTTCCCACGAGCTGTTACACAAGGTGTTGGGCTGCATTGGACCTTTTCATTAGCAGAAAATGAAACTTTTCAGTCATCTTTATTTGTCACAGTATTCTCTTGAGCTGTTCAGTGAGCAGGGGCTCTGTACCCACTGCTCCTCAGCTGAGGGCTTCAACCCAGGGAATGATGTGACTCTATGAACAAGGACACCAGCAAGCAACCTCGAATGCATAGGTGTCTATAGCTTACCTTTATCTGTCGGGTTTCTTTTCTTCTGGATCAATGGCTTCCAATTCAGGGCTCACTGCTAGTTTCAGTGTTAAAGCTTAGGAAGTTAACCAAGAGCAAAATGCAGCATTGTGTGCAGTCCTCAACAGTGTCTTGCCCTTGGTATGATGGAAATCATGGGCCCTTGCTTTAGGACACTTGTCATCTCCAAGAGTTTGAAAACATAACTCTTTTTCTTTATGGTTTCTGTTATATACTGTTGTGTAGAATAAAAACCAATGAGTGGATGCATATGCTCAGAAACAATTAAACTGCAACCAGCATTGGTAGCAAAAAGACTGGAACATGAGTGAAAACTGGGCACGATGAAGTCAATTGTAAAGCTCCCATCAATGTCTGGAGGGTTAGCATTTCATCTGCTGTGACTGAACGTGTTCTGCTTCATCCTGTAAGTTTTTAGTGGAATGCTGTTTTTTTCCCTGCTTACTGTATTCTGGTGAGTGTTCTGCTAAAGTCCTCCTTTCCTAGAACCAGTCCTGGTGTTGTCCAACTGGGACTGTGATTTCTGCCCCATGTTGCATTTCTCTTATTTAGTTCCATCTTATTCGTACAGTTTCTTTTGTAAGTCACAGCATGATGCCTCTCCAGCAGCTGTTGTTAATATTGTGAATAGATACTATTTGTCTAGAAGCTGCAGTTGTGGACCCAGATCCCATTTTACAAATGTAAAATAAAAACGTGGTTCCTGGCTTGTAAAGCTTACAGTCAAAGAATGACAGGAGAGAATCAGTGGATAATTACTGAACATTGTCCTGTCTGCATTTTGGGTTAGAGGTTTGTCACTAGCCATTGAGATCTGTGGAAACAAATAATCTCAGAACAAACTACCTGTTTGTCACTGCTCTGACTAGCAGGCGATGTAGGCTTTAGGATTATTATATGATTGAGGAATTCTGTAGAGCAGCAGCATAATTTCTTTCTACAGGACTTGTCTCTTCAAGCCTAAGAAGGCACTATTTCTGGTGTTTGGAGCAGGTTTGGCAAAACATCTTCGTCTTTGCTCTTTAAAAATACCTCACTCCTATATCATCTGCATATACAGTGATGAATTTAAGAATCAACAATGATGGATTAATCCTAATTTGATTTCAGTTAATTTGAGTGTCCCCTTAGCTGGGGAACCAGAAGCATCTCAGCTTAAAGTAAGACTGGAAATTTGCTCAAGCAGTTTTGTTAGGTCACTTGTTGAAGTCTTTAAAGTCAGTAATTGTTATTAACTAACCTAGGTGTGTATGAGACTCTTCATCCTTTTGCTGGTTTAATGAAGAGTAGAAAGCAAAACTGCGGGGAACTGTTTGAAACGATTTTACCTGAGTCAAGAGGGTGTGTGTGTGTGTGTGTGTGCATCCTGAGAGGTTTGGTATGTTTGCTCAGATATGCTGAATGTATTTGCTTTACGTGTACAAGTACCAACATTTTCCTGTCGCAATTCAGATCTTTTTGGATGATACCCCACTGGGGAACTGCATGTATTTCCAGGCATCTGTGTCTAGAATAATCTGTGGTTATTCCTTCTGTGTCTGGATCTCTTGGCTGTTGATACTCGTGTGTAATTGTTAAGGTTCCTGATTAATTGTCTACCAGCACCGTGACAGTTAAGCAACAGAATTCAGATTATGATGAAGCACTTAAATACACATCTTTTCTCTGGTAAGGCTCAGGAGCGCTGCCGCTCCATGTAAGATGAAAGGATGCAGCACTTCTCAGTGTCACCTATCCCACTTCTGTGAGTTCTGAGAAAAAGTTCTTTCCACCTGTGCTGTTTCTGGCTTCATCTTCCCTTTTGGATGATGGACTGGTTTAATGGGACTAAAAGATGCTCCTATTTTCAAGAGTTCCTTTTATCGTGCGTCTGCATTTTCTCTGTGCAAAGCTTGTGCTTTGTCAGTACCGATAGCCTTTAGGCTGATCCTTCATAGCTTTTAAGCAATATTTTTCATCATGTATTTCTTCACGCAGAGGAGTATTAAGCTATCTCCCAGAGTTTACAGTTAGTCACAGATACCTGAAAGATGGTCACAAATGCCCTATTCATTCAAAGCATGGAAAATTACAATTCAAATATCAGTGAAGCTACCTCTTTTGTTTCTGTGCATTTTGGTAAAAACACTCCTTTACTATGGTAACTCCACGGCCCCTTGGGAATTACCCTGTAATGCTTCCAACCTTCCTTTTTTTTTTCTTGACAAGTTTCTGGCTATATCCTGGAAAACTTCTGGAGTCTGCTATGGATCTATAGCAGCTGAAAATATGGGAGCAGCATAACCTGAAATAAAATCCATAAAGGAATTTCACGTTGGGCAGGCGAAGCTTCCAGTGCAAACCAAAACGTTCACATTCACACTCAATA